TGAGAATTGAGAAATCGATATCAACTAAAGTTTTGGACCCATCGAACTGGCCCATCACCAATAATTCATTTGACAGCATCCATGGCCCCTCCTCCAGGGCCTTCCTCTTCCCAGTCGCCTGGTGAAAACTGAACAGAAAGTGGTTCTCACCCAAGTCTTTGCACTCCACACCACAGATCGGGCACCAGAGCTTTCCAACTGAATGGATCAGGCCCTCCGGGGGAGTAGATTTCTCCGACAGGAGTTTCCAGATCGCCTGCTGCAGCACTGATCTCGTCTCCTCCCGTCGACCCCCACCAACGCGGACCCCGCCCTCCTTCTCCCTGCAGACAGCTAAAGGCTCTTCATCATGTTCGCAACCCCCTCCATCCTCCTCACCTGATGATGGCAGCACCAGAAATCGTGAGGAAGGCTTCTAGGGTTTGGCAAGCAGGTCTTGTTTGAGGGCTGCAGAACGCAGAAAATCTAGTGGACGCAGGGATGAACTAGGATGTGGAGACCGGATCCGGCCAGGTTGAACGGATCAAGAAGATGGAGAGGGGACCGAGGGAGTTGTGGCGAGGAAGAGTCGCCTATGGAGCTGCCACGAGCTGCCTCAGCGCCCAGGAAAAAAGACCGAACAACATGGCTAATAGTTCCTCTTGTAAATCACCAACAACATGAAGTAATTTTGTTGAAATAATGTCTAAGAATTTCTTTATATATAGTATCTATCAATTAAACTAGTGCCACAACTAACCTATTCCTAAGGTTGTGCCCTACCATATTTAGAAACACACGTACCTTTTGCTCAACAAAGAAATGGATGGTATCTTGAAGAATACCACGGTCCCTAAAAGATAACAAAACCGAAAGAAGGATGCTCTTTAATAAGCCTAGGAATGTTTTTAGAAGTTGTGTCATCGTTCCAATTTTTGGTGTTTAGATACACAACTCATCCCTTTCGTCCAAGGAATTCCTTCTCTCCATGGATAACCAACTTTTTGTGTTTAGATATGTTAGGCGGGCCCTTTTCGCTTGGCCCCCTCCCCCTCGCAAAGAGCCATCCCGGAAGCCTTCCCTGGATGTTTTTGGTCGTTTGGCAAGATGGTGCATTTCGTCAGGCCGCGGGAGTCTTCGCCAGGGCTCGGCATACGAAGAGCTTCTGGAGCAAAGGCGCCACGTTTACGGATGATGAGTTGCATCCCTAAGGTAGATCCTAGCGAGGACCAGGTGCCCGAGCGAAGGAGCGACACGGCTCCGTGCGCGAAGTCGAGTGAAGGCTTTAGTGGTCCCCATGGCCCTGGGAAGGTGGATGCTTTTGGATTCATGTGTGAATTTGACCAGGGTGCCACCCACCCGAGGGAATATTCTAGGTATCTTGAATACGTGTTGGGGGGGGGGCATAAGGGTCCTTGTGTTGTAAGGGAGAACCTATAAATAGTTCCAATTTGTATAACAGGAAGGGGGGATGATGAATATTGAAACCACCAGTTCTTTATTGCCTTTGCTGTTCTATTCCCTATTTGAGAGTTTGGCGATTGCCCGTAATAGAAGACTTCGGTCTAGAACAAGATACCCATGTTACACTATATATTTATTGACGATTATATAGAATCACGCAGCTGGTACTGCACTTCATCACGCATCCTGGATAGACAGCTTGACGTACTCCGTCTCTGATTCCTGGGCTGACCTACCCTTGCACTCGTAGTAGAACGCGATCAATGCGCAGTCTTGGAACAACTCCACGGCGGCCATCTGGACGGTGTACAAGACTCCCAGGAGCACAGCCCCCGACGCCATGTTGCCACGGGCGCATATCTTGGCCTGCCAGTACACCGTGATAAAGTGTAATTTGTATCTTGTAGTTCATAGCTTAGCTGAGGCATTTTTCCCGCGCTCGTCAGCCCACGATGTCGCCCACGTTCGATGTGCGCTCGGCTGCAGTCGCACCTCGCGCTGGCAGTTGTCTGCCCGGTAGCTTGTACAAATACACCGAGATCAATACAGATTGAACTGTTGGCTCCATTGCTTTCTCTATCATGGTATCAATTGCTTAGGTCTGTTCCTCTGCGCTGCCCTCCCAGCAACCGCTGAGACGTCTCGCGCACGGGTTGTCCGACGTCGCGCAGTGCGTCGGCAAGATGTTTGAGACGGCCGGTGTACGTCGTGATGTCCATGTCACCCTGGACCAAGCTGCGGAACTCGGCCTCAAGGTAGACGGCTAGATGAAGCTCATTGTCGCGGAACTGGTCGTGGATTGCGTGCCAGATGGTGTACGCCGTCGCCTTGGGAACGTGCACGATCACGCGAACGTCCTTGGACATGGTGTTGTAAAGCCAGCTCAGGATGCACTGGTCGACCATGACCCAGTCCGGATCACGGCGGTTGGCGCCGGTGGGAGAAGAAGTGAGGTGAGAGCTGAGACCGAACTTGCCGACGAAGGCGTCAAAGAAGCATCGCCATTCGGTGTAGTTCGACTCGGAGAGATCGAGCTCGACGGGAACGTGGTTTTTGATGTTCACCGTCTATAGCACAGTGGAGGAAGGAGGCTGGACGACGGTTTTGGTGAAGGATACATGGCCGCCGGAAGAAGTGGAGGAAGAAGACTCGCCATCAGATAGATCGGCATCATGTAGGGGATTGGTGTCCATGGGAACAGCGGAAGGTGTGTGACGCCGTTCCAATGACTCCTGGGTGCTCCACCGAACTAAACTCACCTCCGGGTCTTTGGCTGCTTGTGCTTCCCCAACCAGACAGCCACCGCCGCTCACAAACTCTGTGCCCGATCCAGTGCTTGTGTCTTCCTGAGTTACCCCACTGATCATCGTGGTTATCGGTGCCTTGACCTCAACACCCGTCGCGTCATCACGTCGCGCCACGTGGTGTTCGACGAATTTGTCTTCCCGTTCCGAGCATCATCTTCTGCCACTACGTCGCAAGCGCGTGCGTTCCCTACCGCCAATGACGACGATCCTCTCGGACACACCTCCCAAGCGTCGTCGTGTCGCTGCGCCGTCGCCCAGTGCCAGCCCTGGCATTCCTTCCCTAGTGGTCACGCCCACGCCCTTACTGATGCCTACGACTATAGCCACACCCGTGCAGTCGCCTGACGTGCCTGCTCCCAGCTCCAATCCACACGCATCGCCAGCTACCACACAAGTATCACCGGTGCCCGCGCACACCACGCAGACACCATCCAACGTCCATCCCATGGTCACTCGTGCACGCGCCGGCGTGTTCAAACCCAACCCCTGCTATGCCATGGCCGCATCGGCCGCATCCACCACCATCTCGCCTATTCCGTCATCAACTCGGGCAGTATTGCGCGATCCAAACTGGAAGCAAGCCATGGATGCTGAATTCAAGGCTCTACAGGCGAACCGCACCTGGCGTCTTGTCGACAAGCCATCCGGCGCTCACGTGATTTTGGGGAAATGGGTTTTCAAGCACAAACTTCATCCTGATGGATCACTCGAGCGCTACAAGGCTCGATGGGTGGTGCGCGGATTCACACAACGTGCTGGGGTAGATTTCCAGGAAACATTCACGCCAGTGGTCAAGCCGGCGACAATACGAACAGTGCTCACAATTGCTGCGTCCAAGCAGTGGCAAACAAGACAGCTTGATGTCTCCAATGCATTCCTCCACGGCAACCTTGAAGAGTATGTCCTGTGTCAACAGCCGATTGGGTTCGTCGACCCTGATCGCCCTCAAGCTGTCTGCCGCCTCGACAAGTCCTTGTACGGACTGCGGCAAGCGCCGCGCGCCTGTTTCACGCGCTTCGCCACGTTCGTCACCAAGCTTGGGTTCAAGGCCACCCGGTCAGACTCCTCCCTCTTCGTTCTTCGCCGGGGAGCTGACATGGCCTATCTCCTCCTCTATGTCGACGACATGGTCCTCACTGCCTCGAGCTCGACACTGCTTCAGCGCGTCGTCACTGACCTGCGCTCCGAGTTCGCTGTCAAGGACACGGGCGACCTCCGCTTCTTCCTTGGCATCGACGTCCAGCGCACGGCGGACGGCTTCTACCTTTCCCAGAGCCGGTACGCCGAGGAGATCCTGCAGCGCGTGGGCATGTCGAATTGTAAGCCGGCTTCGACACCGATCGACGGCAAAGGAAAGCTTTCCTCGGACGGCCCCGCTATTCCGGACGCGAAGTCATACCGTAGCATCGCTGGAGCGCTGCAGTATCTAACTATCAGCCACCCGGACCTCGCCTTCGCTGTCCAACAAGCTTGCCTATACATGCATGATCCACGACAGCACCATTCGGCGCATCTGAAACGGATCCTGCACTACATACGCGGCACGACGTCGCACGGTCTCCTGTTGCGTGCCTCGCCACAGCTCGACGTCACGGCCTACTCCGATGCAGACTGGGCCGGTTGCCCAGACACTCGCCGATCGACGTCCGGCTTCTGCGTGTTTCTTGGTGAGTCCCTCGTGTCATGGTCTTCCAAGCGACAGCCCACAGTGTCACGGTCGAGCGCCGAGGCGGAGTACCGCGCTGTCGCCAATGCCGCGGCCGAATGCATATGGCTACGACAGCTTCTCCGTGAGCTTCACACCCCCATACTCAAAGCTACGGTGGCGTTCTGCGACAACGTCTCGGCTGTCTACATGCCCGCGAATCCGGTCCATCGCAAGCGAACGAAGCACATCGAACTCGACATCCACTTCGTTCGGGAACGGGTGCAAGCCGGCGAGCTCCGCGTCCTCCATGTGCCGACCGGCGAGCAGTATGCCGACATCATGACCAAGGGCCTCACAACGAAGACCTTTGAAGCTTTCCGGGACAGTCTTTGCGTCATACCAATGAAGCTTCAGACTAGGGGGGTGATAAAGTGTAATTTGTATCTTGTAGTTCATAGCTTAGCTGAGGCGTTTTTCCCGCGCTCGTCAGCCCACGATGTCGCCCACGTTCGCACCTCGCGCTGGCAGTTGCCTGCCCGGTAGCTTGTACAAATACACTGAGATCAATACAGATTGAACTGTTGGCTCCATTGCTTTCTCTATCACACCGGCCTGAACACAGCGGCGAGCACGCTCATCATGGAAACAAAGAGCATGGCACGTCTCTGCCTTCCCTTCACCAGCTGCCACGCCCACCCGATCGCGCCGGCACCATGGCGGCGCCTAGCTGTGGATTCATCCATGGCCACGACGACGGCGAGCGAGCAGAGGAAGGACAGAAAGACGTAGAAGACGAAGGCGACGAGGAGGACCAGGCACCCGGCGAGAAACAGCCCATAGTGGTACCGCCTGAACGTGAGGAAGGCCACGAGGGCGGACGAGGCCAACAGCAGCGCGACGAGGAGCGCGCCAAAGGTGTGCACCTCACCGTCACCGGAGTATGTCGTGACGGCGGCGAAGAGGGAGACGAGCTGGATGACGGAGCCGGTGATGTCTACTGACACGAGATAGGCCGCGCCTGCGAGGAAGAGGACCCGGTAGTCATCCAGCGTATCTCGAACCAGGTGAGCGTAGTCCGGGCCTCCGGGGTCGGTGCTCATGAGCGTGTCCATGTCGCGGCCGACCTCAAGCTTGAGAGGCTCGACGCCAAGCTCGTTGGCGACGAGAAGGATAGAGATCCATGCGACGAGGATCGTGAAGATCGCCGCGAAGAGTATCCGGTTCCTGCCAGGGAGGAGGAGGCCTTCCTTGAGGAAGTTCAACGACGATGGGGTGGTAGAGCTAGGCTTGGTGGCAGCCATGGCCCAATGGCTGGAGCTTAGACAGAGACGAGAGAAATGTCAATGTATTGAGATTATGAGAGGAGAATAACGTTGATGGTTTAAACCTTATTTAAACTGTATGTAAGAAGAGGGTTGAGGAGAGAGCGAGGCGTCTGGTGAAAGCAACTTCATAGGAAAACGTGAACATAGCAATTAAAATGAGATTTGCATATACGTCAGCGACTGTGATGGGATTGGGAGGAGCCTCTGGAACTTACGGTACCGGATTTTGAATGTCTGTTCTCCTTGCAATCTCCCTAGTACCATGGTGCTACTCCCTCAGTCTTGAAAAATGTAAATAGAAGTCAAACAATCTTAAATTAATTTAATTAGATTTATAAAAAGAACTATTAACATTTATATATTTAAATAGGTCAAAACATATTCCATAATCTAGTTATATTTATTGCGCATCATAAATTTTATTAATTTTTATATATTTAGTTAAAATTGGATTGGCTGACTTCTCGACAAACAAGACTTTCATCAAAATCTAGACACATTTAGAGGTGAAAATGGATAGATAAAAATCTAAAATATTCGAATCCATGTCCGCAAAAACTTGTAGTATATATGGACATATGTATTCACATTTATTTCTACTGTGGATACTAAGGGCCTGCTAGGAATATTCCTTGACAAGGATTGTGTCACCTCGCCGAGCTAGAAACTAGAACAACCTGGGTATTTGGTTGTGTAGTTTGTGAACCTTGATTTCTGTGCGGGCTAGCTTTTCCACAAGGAAATTATTGTGCACCATGGTAGATCGTGCCGTACCGATGCATGTGGCGTGGCAGCATATTTTGGCCGCATTAGGGACTTAGGCGTGGCCAAATAGGTTATATTCGAAAATAAAAAAGCAAAGGTGTTAATTTTGAAAATTATTTTAAAAAAGGTTAAAAATAAAAAAAATCATGATATACAAGTCTTGACGACAATGCGTAAATGCAACGGTTTTTTGCCGGTACAAACGTTTCTTTTTCTCTGGTAGTGGAACTCTAGAACCTTGACGACCATTCATAAATGCACGGCCTTATTATTTAATGAGCTCCCTGTCAGCTCAGGCTCAGTTACTTATTCGATCGTTAACAGAAATGCTGTAAACCAAAACTGCTAGCGTGCATGCTGACAAAAGAAAATTCATGGAATCTTTCGTAGATGCAACAGTTGAAGGCCAAGAAACATAGCAACTAAAATGAAGAAGCCTGAATTGATTGGTCGATGCATTACATTTGCAAACACATCAGCAACTGTGGCGGGATTGTGAGGAGGGCGGTGATATATATTCCCGGGAACTTAGGGCACCGGATTTTGAAAGTCTGATCTCCTTGCAATCTCCCTCAGCCGTCATTAACTAGTGCCTAGTACCATGGTGCTACTCCCTCAGTCTAGAAAAATGTAAATAGAAGTCAAACAATCTTAAATTAATTTAATTATATTTATAAAAAGTAGTATTAACATTTATATATTTAAATAGGTCTATTATGAAAACATATTCCATAATCTAGTGACATTTATTATGCATCAAAAAATTTATTAATCTTTAAATAGATTGAATTGACACATATTAGTTATACAAAAGTTGATTAAAATTTATTTATTGCAACATCAAAATTAATATTATTTAGTTATTGATTTTAATTAGATTGAATTGACACATATTAGTATTCCCTCCGTTTCAAATTATAAGAAGTTTTGGCATTTCTAGATATATAGTTTTTACTATGTATCTAGACATAAACTATATCGAGGTGTGTAGCTAAAGCTATGAATTTAGAAAAGCTAAAATGTCTTATAATTTAGAATAGAAAGAGTAATATTTAAATCAATGTAATTAGTGATTAATAGCATGAATATTATTAGATCATTTCATCTAGTACTGTATTTTTTATGAGGGTGCTGATGGTATTGGATTCATGCTTTTTTAATACAAATATAGAATGGGGAAGAAAAGTAATAGGAAAAGAATTTGGATACATATATTTAGTGTCTACAATAGAAAGAAATCCGAATATGGATATTCATATGTAGAAAAGGATATTTCTTTTTTTGTTTTGAAAGCATTACTAGGGTGCTTTGGCAGCAAGAACATTCTAGATTCTCAGGAGACTCACTAGGATCACTGTCACTCATTACAAAGAGAGAAATGTTTTAAGGAGAATCACTTGAAACTATTTACTAGTCTAGAGAAATACGCGAAATCTAGTTTTCTAGTTCTTTTTCATGAATTTAGAGAGCTATATGACTCATGAAAGAAACATTTCTAAAGAGAAACTAGATCTGCAACGTTTATAAGAGAATCTAAAACCATGTGAAAGGATCAAAATGCCCAAAAGGGTGTGAATTGGGCTAATCTAAAATTTCTTGAAATAATTAAGCCCTACACTTAGCCCATTTCGCCCCTAGTGCCTAAATGTGTTCTCTATTGTTCTACCACATAAAAGTTTTACACCCTAGTTTCCAATCCTACTCTAGCATGACAATTCTAATAATGTAAAGATACGAAATGAATTGCTCAAAAGTAAATGCTCAAAGTAAAAAGAGAGAAAGGAACGTGGTGATGTTTTTTCGTAGTGACTGGACGCACCTGTCGAAGTGACCGGACATGTCCAGTCAGTAGCCAACGGCTACATGGCATCATCTTGTCAGAGAGAGCCATTACTGTGATTGGAGTCCAGGCAGAGTATAGTCCATACCCACCGGACATGTCCGGTCTGAAAAATAGGTATCTGGACCCTCTCTGTTCTCGACCGGACTCGCCGGCATTTTGAGTCCGGTCACATCCATCCAGCGTCCGGACATCCTTCAAGACCAAAGTCAACATTGCTACAGGCGCATTGGTGCGTCTAGTCCTGGCCCTGCGCCAGCGTTCGGTCGGTCTTCGCGCCCTTCTCTACGCTATGCTACACTGACCAGACCCAACGCCTCAGCGTCCGGTCCCATTATCATCAGCATCCGGTCAGCCATTCAACCTTCCATTCAGTTCCAATTCGAGATACTTTGTGAATGAAGTTGACCTCAAATGATCTTTGGGCTATCCCTTTGCTACCTAGTGTTAAGTTTGACAAGTGTGCACCACACCTAAAACATTAGACTCACATAGGTCGAGCTACTAGTTCATACCCCCCTTAATAGTACAACCAAAGGAAAAACAATGTCCTAAACTACTTCTAAGTGTCTCTCAACACCAAATGACACTTAGAACTAGTCCGTTCTTAACCTTGTCATCCACCCTTTGAAAACCGAAACGAATTCCATCGATAGGGCATGAAAACCATTGATTGCCCAAACAATCGTCATTATCGTGACCTAACTCAAATTACCTCTACAAAACACATGTTAGTCACAATAATCTTACATTGTCATTAATCACCAAAACCCACTAGGGGCCTAGATGCTTTCAATCTCCCCCTTTTTGGTGATTGATGACAACATAACCTCGAGTAATTGTATAAGAGATGGGTAAGGTTTTCAACATGCTTGGTTCATATAAGCATTTGATAATAAGAACAAGGGGTTAGGAATGTTTATATGACCCAAGCCAAGATCATGTACTCAATAGATATGAAATAAGCACAAGTACAATAAGTAAAGCTCATTTGAATTGGAGTAAAATGCAGAAGTAAAGCAAATCAGCATAAAACAAGTGACATGTCATATATATATATATCAAAGTAGAGAGCACACATGTCACATAAGTCTCACAATCACACATATATCACATATATCACAATGCATGAAAGTAAAAATGATATGCATGAAAGCAGCACGCAAAAGAACAAGTCCATCTCACATTCTCCCCCTAAGTCTAACATATTCGCTCCATCTACCCCTTTGGCGTCAAGCACCAAAACTTAAGGGTCGGTCGGCGGGATAGGAGCAGGCGAGTCGGGCGCTGAGGTACGGTGAGAGATCTCAAACTGAGTGGCATCATCATTTGACTCTAGGCTTAGAACTATCGAACCTGCTGGAGCTAGCTGAGGCTGACCCTTTGACCCTGAAGCTACAAGTGAAGCGGTTTGGGTCTGCTCCACGATCTTGGTAACTGAGTCGGCTGCCTGAGAGGTAGATGCTGAAGCTATAGCATGACTCTTGGACTTAGTAGCTATCACTAGAAGAACGGGAGCCACTGGCTCTGAAGAAGCAATTGAAGATGGAAATGTCTCTGTAGTCCCTGTAACTGGAGCTACTGCAGTAGAAGAAATAGGCACCCAAAACTCAGGAAGTGTGGGCTGACCTGTGAGCTCACTAAAGGTAGCAGCCAATCACCTGGAAAATAGTGTGTCTATCACTAGCACTGACTCAGACTAAGTAGGAGCGAACCCTATGACAATCGGAGTGAAACCCTGAGCCTGCCTTGTCCCTTGAGAAGAGAACCACTGAGAGACCTGCTAGGAGGGTAAGGCAAACTATGTAGTCAGTTGTCCTTGACTCTGAAGCCCACTGGGTTGTATTGCTAGAGTCACTAGGGTAGTAGTAATTGTTGAAGCAAGCTGCTACATAGGCTAATAGGGAACCATTCCTGTTGCTCGAAGAATGTGCTCCATGAAACCAAAAGTCATCTGCTGAAAGGATAGGAGCTTCTACTGAATGACCTGCTGCTACTGAAACTGATCCTGCTGTCTCCGCATCTGAGCAATAGCTGCTGCCATGGCCTGTGCCTAACGTGTCTGGTCCTACTGCATCCTCTCAAGTATGGCTATCAAGGCGGGGATTGCCTACTACAGCTGAGGTGGAGCTAAGGTAGAACCACTGGCCTCTCTGTCGTGTGCTCCTATAGGCATCTAAGGAATCGGCTGGTAGTCCTTATCCAACCTGTTAGAGGCAAGATCGTCATGTGTTGGATCATCCAACTATGCCTCGAGATCTACAAGCTCTCACTCTGCCACTCCTCTAATGGCCTCATCTTGCCTGGCCTCTATCTCAGGAATAGCTAGTCTCTAGCATGGTTGTCTCTCTGCCCTATTCCCTCAACTATG